TGCCACCAGGGGATAGCTTTGGCCTTGTGGGTTTTCAGTCGAATATGGTCAATCAGGACACAGAACACAATTTCTGAGTTATTAAAATGTTCCCATCCTCTTCATATTGCTGCCATTTTGAAATTAAGAAAAATATCAAATTGTTTTCTTATTTAGTTTGAAGGTCCTGAATCTGTATTTAAAAAGCATACGAATACGCAAGAATACAAGCTATTTAAAGGAAGCCGTATCCAACTAACATCACATTTCTTAAGACTTTCAACACGCGATGAAGAAAGAAAATAATAAAATAGTGTTACAAGTACAGGGCGGCAGGTAGCTTAGTGGTTAAGAGCGTTGTGCCAGTAACCGAAAGGTCGCTGGTTCTAATCCCCGAGCCGACTAGGTGAAAAATCTGTCGATGTGCCCTTGAGCAAGGCACTTAACCCTAATTGCTCCTGTAAGTCGCTCTGGATAAGAGCGTCTGCTAAATGACCTATTTATTTATTTATAATAACTCAGAAATTGTGTTCTGTGTCCTGATTGAACATATTCGACTGAAAACCCATAAGGCCACAGCTATCCGCTGTTGGCGCAGAGGGTTAATGATCTGACTGCAGGTTCAATCCCACATATTCTTTAACTAGATGAAATTGAAGCTCAGATATACTGTACTGAAAGAGAGGAAGTCTTTATTTCATCTAGATTTATAAATCCAGTCAGAAATGCAGAATTTAGACTCACAAAAAAATAAAACATTGTGTAAAAATGGACTGTTCGAATTTTAAAAAGCCCCCGATATAATTTAGATTTTGAGACGCATGATATGGGCCCCCTGGCTTATTTTTTATGATCTGAAAAGCAAAAATGATCCTAGATCAGCACTCATAGTCTTGGATACCTTGTAAAAATGGGTCCAGAAGTATACAGTATATAAAGAGGATGGGTGAAATGATGGTGAATAACCGTGTATTTCCCTGAGTTAGTTACGTCTAAGAAGGTTAAAAAGGAAGGATCGAATTCCTGATTGGCCATGGCTATATGCTGAAAGAAGAAGATGTAAGAGAGCTTCTGGGAATGTTCTTGTAACATTAGATGTTTTGTTATGTCCCCACAATGTTCCCACCAGACTGTTCCCAAAACCTAATGAAACATTCTGGGAACCTTTATAGAACAGATTAAATGTGTCCTGGGAATGTTCTTGTAACATCAGGTGAATGTTTTTTGCACCCTAAAATAAACATTGTAGAATAATCCGCACAACTGGACAGTTTGTTTTGGGAACATATATTTTGTGATGTTCACACAATGTTCTCACCAGACTGTTCCCACAACCTAATAAAACATTCTGGGCACCTTTAAAGAACAGTTTAAATGTGTTCTAGGAACCTTCTTGCAACATCAGGCGAATGTTTTATGCAAACATTCTATAATCATCACCACGACTGGGCAGTTTTTGTGTTATGAGAACATTTGCCGCGACCTAACAAATGTTCTGGGAACTTTCACAGAAACAATTTTAGTCTGCTGGGGAGGGATGGGAATATTAGGATTTACAGTAGCCTACAGATCATTACAGTGCACCGTGGGTTGTCCGCTGCCTTCTCTGCAACGACTTGTCAGGGACGCCAGCTTTGCCTTAGGTCTGACTAATGTGTCTTAAATGAGTGCCATAAAAGTCAGAATGAGTGTGAATGAGATCTCTAAGTGGATACTTTTATGTCATTGCGAGTAAATACTATTTTTTTTGTAGGCGAGAGAATTGATAAGTGTATTTCCTTGTCGTGTGTTTGGGAGATGCTGCGTGTACTAGGACAAGGCCGTGTGAGCGTTAAAGGGGCGTGTCTTGAAGTGGAAAGGCCAAACAAAGGGTTAAACATGCAGAGGCATCCTGCTCACTCTCGGACTGGCCCCCAGGAGCACAGCTAGCATGCCTGACCAGTGACGGGCACTGCTTTTAGCTGCTCTAGACTACCACAAAAGGAAAATACTGGATAAAACAACACAAAATGCATACTATAATGTTATTACAATCCATCATCCCATTTGTTTTTGTTTCAATACCCACATAAACAATTTTATTTTTTTATTTTTTTATTCAGCATCAACATGTGGAGAAAAAAATAAACTTAAAGGCAACAATTGGCATAACATAAAGCTATTCTGATTAATATTTCTAAATTCTAGCTCTTGTTATAAGCAATCTGAATGTTTTGGAAGTTAAGTTTAAAATCCTGTAATTATTTATTGTATGATTACATAATTTTTTTAATGTCACATTTTGGTGACATGTAATCAATTCAAACTACTTCTCTAGAAAATAGTCCCAGTAGAAAACTAATGGAAACATTCAAATATCATGTTTTCAATGTCGGCCTATTAGTATACTGGTTTCCATTAAACGTGTGAATCACCTTAAATCCTAAATCGAGACTTACAGGGCTAGAAAAGATAGTCGGTTAACTTTTTGCCAATAAAGAGGATTTTGACTTTGAAGAGAGGCCTCTGAAGCGTTTCATTATGGTTTGGGCACCAAGCCCAAATATGAACTTTTGAAAAATCAGATTTACTTTTGACTGATTGAGGCCTAAGCGGTCTGTTCGCATTACCCCAGAATGAAACTACAAATATTCACAGTAGCAACAACGGCTGAAGGTGGACTCAAGGCATTATCTTTCAGCCGATCAACAACATCCTCATAGGAACAAATGTGGGAATGGAATGACAAAATTCTAGGAGAAAAGCCTACCAAAACCTCAAATATGACACAATAATATGACAGCAGGTCATTAAAAAAAAAATCACGTGGATAAAAAAATAATAGATCTAAATAAATATCATGACCACCTGATTTGCGCACTCATATTCCTGGCAAGCTTCCCACTAAAGCATTTAAAATACCTCCCTCACATATCTCCATGACTTACATCATCAAAACACTATCAACAGCTTCTAGTAACATTAGTACACCACTCTTGACCTAAGGTAGAAAACCATGCATGCACCAAAGCCCTTGGATTTGTGCGTTTCTCAGGTGAAGGAATTCCGAGCAGAAGCTATGAAAATTCCCATTGTTCCCACAAACTGCTTGCCATCATGTCGGGGGAAGGCCGCTGAATGGCAGACAGACGCAGCCAATGGATGTCGCCCATTGTTCCTTGCCAGACTTCTAGCAGGGAGCGATAATGTCGCAGTGATTGAAGTAGCAATGTTTAAAAGCCCTCGGACAAAGAGCCCTTAAAACTTACTGACAGGCATGAAGAGCAACGGTGCAGTGAGATGAGAACAAGAACACAACCCCACGGTCTACACACTGCCCAAACTGTCCACACACGGCCCCCACATATACTGATTACAGCCACACAAGAGGCTGCCGCTCAGAACTACACGTGATTTATATGCGCTAACATCATGATGTATATCTGCTAATGTCATGATGTATATCTGCTAATATCATAGCTGTGTGTTTTCCCATGGCGATTAGAGCAAGGCACACACACACACACACACACACAATCACTACACACAAACACTCTTAACACATTATTAGGTCCTATTTTTTTTCTGATTTGTTTTTTCGTTTTCATAATTTCTACCATTCTGTTACCTCGTAACTATTGAGACCATGCAACTAGACCATGTAACATACAACTAAATGTTAAATCCCCAAAGTTTGACACAGTACAGACAATGGCACCAGCACCACTACTTCAACACTGACACCCAACATAATGAGACCTACAAAATGATAAAATCAGGCTATAACTGCACAAAGGTTATAGCCTGGTAATAGCAAGAGGTCAAAATTATTATAAAATAGTAATAACATTTATAATAGTTTTGCCTAATACTTATTATTATTATCATTTGTATTATAACACGTTTTTTGTCTGTAATAATAAAAGTCATTGTCAGCTCGATAAAATATTATTGACAATGACAGATCAAAAGTAATATCCCTATTATGGTGGTTTAATAATCACAGAATTCGTTATGAAAAATACAAAAGAGAATTTCTCAACAACTGGTATAGAAATGGTCAGTTCTATCCTTGGGACGTCCCTACCCTAAACCTAACCCCTACCCTAAACCTAACCCCTACCATAACCATTTTAAATGTCTACTTCAATTGGGTAGGGACGTCCCAAGGATCCCGGATAGCACGGACCATATAGAAATGTTATATTGCAAAGATCATCTTATATAAAAATCTAAAACATACGATTTTTTGTGTAATTGATGCAGTGAATATAGGTTATTGATCTTATATCCGACTATTTTTTCCCCCATATAGTTTGACATAGTTTATAGTCATAGAACCCCCACGTCAAAACAGCTCTGGCTGCATTTCAAAACGTCAGTCTGTCTGATTAGATTTCATGACCACAATTTTATTTCACTATAATTTCTACACACACTGTGCAAAATATTTACCTTGAGATTTTGACTTCAATGGCAATACCACAAAATCTAAAATATTTATGTGATATTTGCCAGTGGCTAAAACCAATTAGGAAGACATTTCAAAATGTATTTAGAAGACCTTCAAATAATAACGCATGACTTCAATATGAAACAAAATGTATAATTAACTGACTAGCCTAAATTATGTATATTTTATTGTTAAAATTACACTCAAATGTGTTTTAAATCGTTAACATTATTGATAACTTCTCTGGCAAATAGGCCTAGACCTAGGTTCGTTTCCAACGGCTATTTCGAAGAATTATGAAGTAGGTATGTAGGCCCAAACATAGCACAATTGCCAAGCTCTATGATAAAAAAAACTAAACAGAGCTACATAGCTATGGAACACATAAATGTGTAAGAGATAGTACAAGATAAAGAAATGTGTAAGAGATAGTACAAGATAAAAAGCTCCGCTATATATTTGATACAAAAATGCGAAGAGAAAGAGTTCTGCCAATGCGTCGCGCTAAAGGTAAACGAGTTTGGTGTTATAGCCTACTCGATTGTCGACCATGGTCAAATTACCAATGAAAATAGAAAGATATATGTGCTTACTGTTGGTAGTCAATTTTGCAGTAGAGTTTCCTATCTCTGAAGTAGCAAGTTGTGGTAAGCGGCTGTTGACACACCGCGCACTGCAAACACTCCTCGTGCCACGACGATTCGTTGACCCGCATCAGAAATCGGTCGGAAATAGGCCGCTGACATCCCTCGCAGACGGCCTGATGATGGCATTCAGCACCTGGGTGATAAACGAAAATGTGAATTTCTGTATCTTTCGGATTCAAAGACATAATGAGGATTTTCTACTCACTAAAAAAGTTGGAATGGTAGGGAGAAAAAACAATATTAGTAGGCGTGTCTTACTAAATGACTCACAAATATAATGCATAAGCAACGGTTAAACCTGCCACTAACGTCGATGTCAGGAGAATAGCTAGGTTCAAGTTACTGTTGGGTTAGCATACATCATTTGAATAGGCCATATGAAAACTGAATTTCTATCTTGTGTCTATTTGTAGCTTATTGCTACAGGTGCCTGCCAAGTGTTGTGTTCAGGAAGGCCTTGCCGTCACAGGATGGCATATGAGACTAAAAGGAGAATGAAACCATTAAATCCCCCAAATAGTACATATCTTCACCTTTGAATATTAAAAGATAATATGAGCCATCCGTAAACTCACCGATCATCACGCCCAAAGTGGCCGCTCCCGTTCTAAAATGATCTTCGATTTTAATACCGTCCAGCATCTTTGAACAGGCGGAATGATTCCTTGCCGAGAAGCGTCTCTCCAATGATTCGAGACCTGTTGCAATTTCCATAACAATGTATGGTCACAGACAGTGTGGTCTATTCCACCCCAAACCCCTCCTTGTTGCACACTGAACTTCTTTGCAGAGGAAAAACCAGAGGGAAAGAGTTGTTAATAGACACGATTTGGGATTTTTACTTTTACTGCGCGGTGATAAATAGCCTATTGGTGTTTGTTCAAGGGAAAAACTTTTGAAGTTACAGCCTAAATCGTGACATAGCGAAGGAACATATTTGTCAAGAACGGTTTTAGGTTGTCACCTGCTCAATTTAGGCTGATTTAGCGTGTCGCTATATTGTGCGGGATGGAAATATTAGCGTCGATGCAAAGCGTTGAGTTTCTGGCGAATTCTCTGACTCCCAAAGAACAATATTGCCGAGGAATTAAAGTAATAAGCAAGTGCTGTAAATCCAGAGACGTGGAGTAGAACGGGTTCGTTCCAAAGCAAGCACTAAAGTTAATGTGCCATGCCGAGTGTATAGTCTCTTGAAGAGGGCGAAGCCGAGATTGAGGCAACTGGAGAGAAGCCCTCCCCTTGCCCTCGCAGTAGCACTATTCTGCTGCTGCGGGATGCTATTGGTGCGCACTGTTTGTGTGTTCAGTGCCATGGAACTGAATCGTTCCGCCTCCAAAAAGAGAATCAGAGAACCCTTGAAGTTAAACGGAATACAAGGCTACGTGTCTGTGGTGATTTCAAGCAAAGTATTTAGGCTAAGTATAGGACCAAAACAAACATGCACTTCAATGCCATCATTTATAGGTGCTATCTAGAACCTAAAAGGGTTCTTCAGCTGTCCCCATAGGAGAACCCTTTGAATAACACTTTTTTGTTCAGGTAGAACCATTTTGGTTCCAAAAGGGTTCTACCTGGAACCAAAAAGGGGTTCTACCTGGAACCAAAACGGGTTATCCTATGGGGACAGCCGAAGAACCCTTTAGGAACTCTTTTTTTCTAAGAGTGTAGGCCTATAGGAATTATGAATAAGTTGAGTCTGCTTTTATTCAACAGATTTTGATGCTGTAAGGGTATTATCCAGCTGTGACCCATTTGGAAATGCTATAGGAATATCGATAATACATTTTAAAGCAATTTCGTTTATTATTACTATTACTATTATTATTATTATTATTATTATTATTATTATTATTATTATTACTATTATTATTGTTATTATTATTACCACTTCATTACTATGCTATAAGTGCAGTTAGTCTATATCCCACATTCAGAGGATGATGTGTTGTCAATACTTTACGAAATCCTACAATTAATTCGTCATTATTATTTTATGCAAGCCATCATTTTGCCACACTTGCATTATCTATTGCAAAGCATCAAGTCCTCCGACTTCGCACAACCGACGCACCTGGCGATTAGTCGCGATAACAACAAAGGCCTGTACCAATTGGAAGTCACCCGCGGAGGAGAGCCCTCATAAGTGGTAGTAGGTAGCGGTGGGGGCCCCTCTCGCGCTATATGAAAATGGCATATCTACATGATTAATAAACCCACAGATAAAACGGGAGATTAATGAAATGAAATGCTTTCCGTTCATCACTTCTTTATTCCACTGAATCATATCGGCTCTAAAAATGTAATATTCATAAGTTGTGTCCTTTGTCCTTAAAAAGCACACAAATTCATTTCACAGATATAAATCTATAGGCTATCTATGACATTAGAAGAGGGATTGTATAGGCTATTTCGTAGGCCTATATTTTATTGTATGAATTCATTATATCAACCTGTGCGCCAATGGATTGAAAAGCGTTTTGTAGGAATAAAGCCACGGACAGATAATTTGGTGGCTATAATATTGGCATCAGCTCAACACGAATCAATCAACCGAGACTAAATAATGATTTATGTTAATTTTGTGATTTTTCCATAAAAGGGTATTTATTGCCTTAGGTCTGTTTTTAGGCTACTTTTTGCATTTGTCAAGAGCGAAACAATGAATGTAGTTTAGGAGGTCTAATTATTTAGTCCAGACTACATACACGTTTATAAGGCCTATATACTGTATCTATTCCTGTTTTGATCGTATTATTGGCTACCTGAAGGGTCTGACGTCTGTCGCCCTTTGCACGTGCATAAACAATGCCATTGCACAATCCCCACAAATCACGTAGGGCTAAAATAATACATATTTTTCCCCCGAAATAATAATGTATATTCCTCATCAGCAAAAACAACAACAAGAGGTTGCAAAAATTGGTAGGGTATAATAATAATAATAACAATAATAACAATAATAATAACAACAAACCAACTATATATGCAGGGATAAAAAAATACAGTACAGATGAAGCCTGGGTTACGAACCATCAATTTATTTGACAATTAGCGTGAAAGAAAATTCTGCATTGTCAACCCCCTAAAATAAATGGCCATTCCAACATAGCTTAGCGTTTTACATTCAACATTGTAGGCTTAGAGTCTACTATTAAGGCTAATAGGCCTTTATGTTTCCCGTGAAAATCTGTGTCCCCACAATTCTCTGAGATATATGAGAATAGAATGTGGCTCAGTGGACAAGTGAGGCTATAAATCAGGCTACAGCTGCCCGGTCTCGGCCTCGAGGGCAGTGTACCTCGGGCCAGCGAGTTATTAGGTTCATCATCCCCTCCCCTCCTTTGTTTTCCTAAGAAAATCTATTTCAAAAAATAATGTTTTGAGCGACCACACCGAAACGAGTGTGGCATTGAAGACGGAGCTGACAGAACAGACAGGTCACTGACAATATGGTTTACGGTCTTGTTTTGATCCACTGAGCTAAATGGACTACTTCCCCATGCACTCCACAGTTAAGATCTCAGTATAGCCTAGTCTAGCGTGTAATCGGGATAGAAACTCTGCTGGAGATAATTAGGCCTCTACTATACTGACGCTTACAGTATCAGGTCCAGGGTACAGTCCCTTGACAGGATCACATATTTTAAAAATCGACTTTCTATTGTTGGCTTTTTATTATTATTATTATTATTATTATTATTATTATTATCATTATTATTATTATGGCTTATTAGTTGAACTGATTGCAGCATTCTTCATGAGGTCCCATGATATAGTCCAGAGGCCTGTGTTCCGATTGATAGAGTTCAGATTCAGAGTCAGATACTCCTCAAAACAATACAAAAACTTAGAATATCGAAGACAAATACGTTTTCTAAAAACTTTTGAAATAATAACATTGTATTATTATTATTATTGTTATGCTTATTATTAGCCTATTATAATTATTAAATACCTATTACTTTTGTAACGAGTAGCCTAAACAAGTGTAGCTTTAACTCCTTGCATCAGTGTTATGAAAACATGGGCCTGCCTACTCTCCAGTGAACATCAGAACATCTATTTTATACGAATAAATGCATCCTAAACTAAAAGGACAAACAGCTTAGCCTGTAAGAGAGAACAGGGTAGGGAGAAGAGGATGGCATGTGCGCATGCACAATATCTCAATAAATATGTAAAGAATATGGGCTTGTTTGAGTGTTAAGGCTGAAGCAACCAACTGCAAATAAAGTCAAGGACTGAAGTTGTGAGATGCATCCGGCTGCAGCCCCGCAGCATAGCCTGTGACTAAAACTAGCCTGTCACTAAAACCAATACTGTCGCCATCTACTGGCTGTGGTTAATCCCTACCACACACGTGAATTCCTTTTCCATCCTGGATTCCTTTCCTTACTCCCTTTCCTATCTTCCTTTCCTTCTTTCCTCACTTCCTAACTCCCTTTTCCTTCCATCATTTCCTACCTCCATTTCCTTTCCTACCTCCATTTCCTTTCCTACCTCCATATCTCCTTGCCTAGCTCCTTGCTCCCTTTCCTCTCTAATGGCTGTGGTTAATCCCAGGGAAAGAAACTAGGAAAGGGACTAGTAGAGGAGGAAAGGAGATAGGGAAGGAGCTAGGGAAGGATAGGAAGCTAGGAAATTAGGAAAGGAAGAAAATAAAGGGATCTAGGAAAGGAGGAAAGGAAAGGCAGTGAGGAAAGGAGGAAAGGATTCTAGGAAAGAAAAGGAGGAGTTGACATGCATGTGGTAGGGATTAACCAGTGGTAGTAGAGAAAAGGAAAGGAAGAGGGAAAGAAAGCTAGGAAAGGAGGAACGGAATCTATGAAAGGAGGAAAGCAAAGGGAGTGAGGAATAGAGGAAAGGGAGCGAGGAAAGGAATCTAGGAAAGAAAAGGAGGAGTTGCATGTACAGTATGTGGTAGCGGTTAACCACGGCCAGTAGAGAGCGATTGTGTTGGTTTTAGCCACAGGCTAGCCTTATGCTGTGGGGCTGAAGCTGGATAGGCTACTATTGGAAGTTAGGGGAGGTGCATCTGTGAAAGCACACTAATGTGGATTTCCAACAGCAAGGCTCAGTGCAAAATGGCGAGAGAGCCTCAAATATCACATGCATTTTGTACATATCCAATGTATAGCCGACATGAATGGTGCAAAGTTAGTTCCTGTTTCAGTCACTTCTTATGTCATGTTCATGTGGGTGGGTCAAACAAAAACACTATAATGATTGGTTGATTTAGAGCCTCCCACAATGCAGGCGATGGCTGCAGGATGAAGTCGGTGAAGAGCAACTGTATAAACTTGCAGTCGATTGCAGTCAAAACGTCATGATCTTTGAGACTTCTGTAAGGAAAGCAGTGCTTTGATATTTTGGAGTATTCTGACCCCTAGTGTTTACGATCAGAAGTGCACCAGTGCGGTTGAATAAGCTACATTTTCAGTCACTGCAGTAGCCTATAGTGACTGCATGAAAAATATTTTCGTGATTAAAAATGGTTGTAATGTATGGATGGCTTCAAATACTCTATCGAATAGCTTGGTTGACATTCTTATTGAAAAGGATGACGAAACTGAGGTGAACGTTGAATGAATTTGGCTATATCGATCTCTTTAGTTGAAAACGACTGTCATTGAACGTGATAG